ACACTTTTTTTTTTTTTTTTGGCTTTTCGAGACAGGGTTTCTCTGTGGCTTTGGAGGATGTCCTGGAACTAGCTCTTGTAGACCAGGCTGGTCTCAAATTCACAGAGAGAGCTCCGCCTGCTTCTGCCTCCTGAGTGCTGGGATTAAAGACATACGCCACCACTGCCCAGCACCTACCCACTGTTTTGTTTTGTTTGTTTGGAGACAGGAGTCTCAGTCCTGGCAAATTTCAAACTCAGAGATTTGCCTGCTTATACCTGCCAAGATAAAAGGCATGTGTCACCATGCCCAGGCTTGTTTGGATTTTCTAAGACAAGCCTTCATGCACAGGCCAGGCTGGCTTTGAACTGCAGTCTGGAAAAGTGTTGAACTGCAGGTGTGTGCCACCATACCTCCTGGCTTGGCTTGATTTTATTTTATTTTATTTTTTAAAGAAACTTCTTCTGACTGTTCTCTGTATTGTCTTCAGTATCTTGCTCGGAGTCTTGAAATGACTACTTTTACAGTTGTCTTAACTTTCCTTAGAATAAATTCCCAGGGGCTGGAGAGATGGATCAGTGGTTAAGAGCACACTGGCTGCTCTTCTAGAGGTCCAGCAACCACATGATGGTTCACAACCATCAGTAATGAGATCTGGTGCCCCCTTCTGGTCTGCAGGCATAGATGCAGGCAGAACACTGTATACATAATAAATAAATCTTAAAAAAAAAAAGAAGAAATTCTCAGACATAAACTGCCAATGGCTTTTGATATTTGGCTCCACACTGCTAAACTACCATTCTTAAGGTGTAACAACTTAATTATGTTTTACCTTTTATTGTTTTTGAGACACAGTCTTGCCATACAGCTCTGAGCAGCCACAAACTGATAATCCTTGTGCCTAGCAAAATTTATTCAGTCACCAGTAGCACATCATTCTCTGCCCAGAAGGGAGAGTAGAGCTGCTCTATTATGCAGCTTCGATACGCTGGCAGTGGGGATATCTGCCATGAGCCCCATTATGGCAATTCATTGATTAAGAAGAACTAATTCCAAGCTGGAGAGATGGTTCAGCAGCTAAAAGAGCAAACTGCATTTATAGAGGACCCAAATTCACTTTCCCGGGTGACTCACAACCTCCTGTAACTCAAGCTCCAGGGGACCCAACATCCTCTCTGGTTTACATGGTGTTTACACTGACATGTACACATCCCACACAAATGTACAATACCAAAAATAATCTTGGAATCAAAGAATGACTAATTTTCTCATTGGCACTGAGTCTGAGCCAACACTGCAACAGTATGACTATACCAGTCATTACTTCTTCCTAGTCCATCCTCACCCACTAGGAGGGAAATCTACCTTAAAAATCAAGAGATATTTTTGCAAAACAAAATGCCTTTGTAGTAGAAAATACTTGGCCAGTCTGATTTAACATAAACCCACCAGCAACCATGATCTGACCCATTCCTCTATCTTCTGACTGCTTCCCCTCAAAGTTGAGGTCTATGTCTTGAACTTTGGTGGCTGGGGTTGATAGACAAAGTTGAGAACCCCAAAGGGAACTTACATAGAAGTGAAAATGCAAGAAGTGGGCCAAAACTCTGGGAGCCACATCGGGGAAGGTGGTCAGGAGAGTCTGGAGGTACACCTCCAGGTCCTTCTCCCTCTTCTCTACCAAGCTTCTGGAGTTCTTTCCAATTATCTTTTTGGGTGGAAGTAGAGTTTTGTCAATTTTTCTCTCTGCAACAAGCTGTAAGAAAACACAAGCACATCAACCACAGACTCTATCTGTGTAAGACCCAGGCTGTCAATCACATCTTCTACAGCCACTCTTGGTAGCAGTGCTAGGATTAGTGCTCCAGCTAGTTCATCTGGGATGTGACCTTTTCAAATCCAAACCATACTGGAAATACTAATATAATTCCAAGTGAGAAATTCCATCTTTAGTCTTTGAGGACACTGAGAAAAGTAGTGCTTATGGCCCCCTGAAGTTCGAAAACTAAAGGATTCTGTGTTGTATCTTTAAGACACTCTCACTATAAACATCCCACAGAAAAGCAGCTCTTTCTAAAAGCAAAGGAAAAATATAACCTCAATCTGTTGATAAAGAATAAATACATATCTTGTGGAACAAGTTCAAGCCTGTGCTTTCCTCAGGAATATGGCAATCTTAAAATAAAATTTAAATATACTACTCTAGATGGTCTCATACTAGGGTTGAACTCCTAGGACCAACCATTTCTTTTGCCAGATGCATTAAGGAACTGTTCTACTAAAGTAAACTATAAAGCCCACGGGATGGCTCATCTGGTAAAGGTGCTTGCTGCTGAATCTCATGATCTGAGTTCAATCCCTGGGGCCTATGTGGTGGAAGGAGAACCAGCTCTCACAAACTCTCTACATGGGCCGTGGCATGTGTGCATCCCCCTCCCACCTAAATATAGGACAGGGTTTCTCTGTATAACAGCCCTGGCTGTCCTGGAACTCACTTTGTAGACCAGGCTGCATCAAACCACAGAGATCCACCTATCTCTGCTTCCCAAGTGCTGGTATGAAAGGCATGTATCACTATGACCGGCCATAAAAAAATTCTTAAAAAAAATTAGCACACAATAGGTGTGGAGGTAGTTTTATCCTCCATTGTGTGGCACAATGGAGACATGGTCCTCAAGCCCTTAAGCCCTGAGATACAGGTTCCCAACTCTTAAGATTACCTTTTCATGTAGGTCATGAAAGTCGCTGTAACGGTGCTTGATTGTCCACTCATGGTTGCCATCAGTAACCTGTATGATATAAACCTAAAGGGAAAAATGATTCCTTGTGGCAAGGGAAACCTACCCCCACAATAGCTGCCAAGTATTCAGACCCCACTCCCTAAGATCCAGAATCAGGTACCCTTCCACATGCCATGTGCTCCTGACCCCTACTGAGCAGTGGTGGCCCAACCTTCCTTAGCCTCTCCCACAAGCTCTGTGAGGTCTGGAGTAAAGCTGTGCTTCAGTCATCAGGAAGGAATGGAAATGTGACTAGCTCAACACAAATCAATCCTTAGATTTTTAAATCCTGCCTCCACATTAATTCAAAACTCAACCTGACTTGTAGGCAAGGCTGCCCCTACTAAGGGAGGCAGAGCAGAGCCCAGTGTAGCAGGACCAGTGTCTCTGCTACACATCTTTTCAGGTACCCTGACTCCATTCTGGAAGCAGGTCTTCTGTCAACATTTCCCACTAGCTGTGGTTTTGAATTCTACTGTTGAACCAGGAGTCAAGGCACCATGCCCCCAGGGGCAGCAGTCGCTCAATCATGTTTAGCAGAAGGCAATATGGTTTTGCTGGTTAAGAAAACCTGGGTTCAAAAATCTGGCTATCCCATTTCCTGGGCGTGGCTTATGTGCAGCTTATGTAAGTGACTAGGAGCCTAAGTTCTCTCTAGGCTTCAATTCCTCCATTTTAAAGCCCGGTAAGCTTAAGGATCAAGTAAAGCAATAAGTATGAAATGATTTGTGCAGCCCTAACACCTAACAAAAGGCAGGTATGTTAATAACATCCAACGCAGCACACCCAGGGACAAATGCTGGTCAGCTTGATCACCACCTTGCTCCCCGACACATATGAGGTAGGACAAAGCCCCGAACAGGAAGAGCTTTTTGGAGATGAACCTCTACTGACTGCAGCTAGTCATAGCTGAGTGACCTCATCTCTTAACTAGATGAGCAAGCTCCGTGGTCCTAGCTTCCCCATCTCTGTGTATCAGGGAAAGGTGAGTGGGAATAGTCAGAGGCTGATTCCTCTGACCCCCAGAGGCAGCCATTTCTTCAGCACCAGCCTGTTGCTCCAGGAGGCACCAGCCAGAATTTCACTGCAATAGTTCCCTTTCCTTGCCAGGGGAAGAAGAGATAGAGGAACAGCCCTCAGGATCCGGTATTAGGATGGGAGCCAATAGGGTGAGGCAAAGGCAGGGCCAAGGCCCTTACCACTGTCCACCCTGGGAACAAAGGACAAGGAGACAGAGAAGTACTCTATGAGCCCCCACCACAGAACAAGTTTTCACTTGGCAGCCTGGCATCCAACCCTATCCAGACCCAAGAGGGCTTCTAACACCATCAACATAACTACCTTCCTTTATGTAGGGCCTCCCTTGTAGCCTACAAGGATATGGCCCTCGCTTGTGAAGTCCCCTAAGGTCTGTAAGTCCCGTTCTTCAGCCCCGAGGTAACTAACTTGTCTTTTCCCAACGACTAGGGTCCAATTCTTTCCCACCAGACCCCTCAGGGCCCATTTTCCCATATCCCTTCCTCACTTTGCAGGGCTGGTCTGGACTGCGACTGGAGTGTGTGGGGGTGGGGGTGGGGGTGGAGATCAAGAACCGCCCCCTCTCCTTCACCACCTGAGGATCCCTGGCCCTTTCCTTTGGTTCCATCATTCAGAGACCACCCCTTTAGAGTCCCCTTCCTCCCAGTCTCCCTATCAAGGTCTCTTAGGCCGGCGTCCCTCCTCGTCTGGAGGTCCTAGAGAGACTCCATCGCATCTACACATCCCTTCCTCCCCAGGTCCTCCTTTACCCTCTGATTCCTCCTACACAAGTCTCCTTTTCTGATCGCGCACCCTTTCCCTCTATCCCCCCCCAGCCCCGCCCTAGAACCTCCTCCGGGACCTATGCAACCCAGCCCCTTCCTCTGAGAACCC